GCTGCAGTAACCCCATGGGAGGGCTAGAAGTCCTTTAAAAAACAGCAAATAGCAGCATTCAAACACCCACACACCAACTCCCCCTCCGGTGCAAAACAACTCTCCAGAACAAGGAGCAACAAAGAACTAGGGTGAGACCACAGAGCAGTTGACCACCGAGCAGCCGAAGGGGTGCAGGACCCTAACAGCATCAAACATGCAAATATCCCCAGATTTCATTGCAAGGCTGTTCTGCAACTGTGGTCTAAATATATACACGTATTTTTGGACAGTTACACCGGGAGAAAGTACAGCGGTAGGTGTAAAAACAATTCACAGTTGTACTACGATGAACTGTCATAGCTCTTCCCAGGAAGCGTGTCCGTCAGAAAAAGATTTAATCCGAGGAGCACTACAGATACCACAGCTTCCCTGCAGAGCCAGCAAGAGCACATCAGCGAACCAGGAGAGCCCACAGCTCGGGAGTTAAAAGATTTGCTGCCGAGTAGCAGGAATAGGCCAAGTTGAGTACATGACAGTATTTGTTACAGGTTGCCTAAGTATCTTTTCATTAGCCCACAGATGGCCTTTTTCATCTTTTCAAATTTAAACTGTATACAAACGTGGCTGTTAGAGGACGGCACAATGTCAGAGCACAAATGCCCACTCAGAGCAACCTCCCGTTTATGGCCAGGGCCAGGTGAACTAGCCCCAAAAGGTGTCTCAGCTGTAAGACAGTTTGTCTTCTCTGTGAAGTTAAGTCCTTATCTCTGTGTGCTATCTGTAACACGAGATAATAACCTCATGCATCCAGCCTAGATCAAATCCAATGCCCCACCAAAGGAGAAATGAGAAATTTGGTATATAAAGAACAGGTCTAGTTTCTTATCCTAAGTCTTTCAAAACATCGCCTAAATCTTATTAGGCACCTGAGTACTGAGTGCATCATTCACCTCCATCGATGCTAAGAAGGGAGCAGAGAAGCAAGACTCGCACTTGCATGCCTGTAATATTGAGTTAGGTGCCTACTTTCAGATCTCCCAGGAGGGCATTTTGGTTAGGATCTATAATTTATGAATGAATATGGATGGCGAGCTATGTTTATAAAAGTCAGATAAAGATGCAACATTTCAGTAGTACAGAAACACTCTACAATAAGGCTACAATAACCTGAAATAAAATATTCACAAGAACTATTCATCAAATGAGATAATTTTTCAAAAGTTCTTGGCACGAATGAGTCCAGTACTTGCAAAAATGGACACAGGGAACAGCAAATACAAAGGAACAGCAAGATGTTACTGGTCCCAGGGTGGCAGATGTCTGCAGAAGGGATTCTGCAGAACTATGTCTTCATTACTGTTTGCAAGATCTGCAGTCAGACCTGAACACAGCCACAGGCACAATCAGAATAAAAATTACACTTTCAAGATACTTTGTTTCACTTCAAACCAATTAAGCTTTTCCTCCTCTGTCCCCAAGGGGAGATGTGATGGGAATGTGAGTAGAGGCAGAGCACTCAACAGCTTTCGCATCAAGTTTATGCAGTTTGGTAGGCTAAGATTAGACTTATTAAAGCAAGATTTATCAAAAAGAGGCGCACAATATTAATGTAATTTCTTGCATATTGTTCTTTTCCTCTTTAACGTCACTAGCTAACACTGCCACTACTGACGTGTATAATCAATAAAACTATGAAACTTGGCTTGTCTAGAAAGGAGTTCAAAAGCACTTAATGGTTGAATTCAGAGCTCATCGCAGAAGCCTCATTGACACTGCAAACAGAATGAGCTGGCTATATCACCAGTTAAAACCCAAACCACAGACCTTCATATTCGCACAATGGATACAAGCAAAGGGAAAGCTTCCAAGCTGTGCATCTATTTTGCAGGACCTGATTATAAGTCTGCAGGCTACCAAGATCTTACTTCAGCTTTTGAAAACCACATTACAGTTTGCTTTCCTAGGTTCAAAAAAATGAACGTAATTTCCTATGAAGTATAAAGCACTGAGGAAAAGTACTGGAAGAAGAATGTGGAATTCACCTGGGGAGAAAATGTCCTGTAAGTCATAAATCAAAAAGCTGTCCTTATAAAAAACATTTAATATTTGTAATACACTGCCCATCAATTAAGATGCAGGAGTGCCATGCACATTTATGCCGAGGAAAGATCAGGCATCGGAGCAGCTGTTTTGTCTATGGGCTCCTGTGGCAAACTCAGAGTCTTCCTGTGCATGACTGAACAGTATCCAAGCTGCCTCTGCTAATTATTGAGAGGATGGTGCAGCAGCTCCTACAACCAGAACTGGTGATGGTTTTGAAAGATGAAAGCCAGTCTGCAGATTTTGAGCCTACCAACCATTGTCCCAGGAAACAGGGCTGTGCTGGCACTCTTTATCTAAACCCCCTGCTGGGAGAGGCTGTGAGCTAACCAGTGCCACTGAGGTCAACACTGTTGGGTGACACCATCCCTGAGCCTCACAGCCAGCCCAGCTAAAAAAAATATCTGGGGTACCAGCTGAGTAGTCGTCATCTCCAATTAGCAGATGACACCCTGAACTCTCCTTCCCATCAGCTCTCTGATGAAGTGGTTCCTGTCCTACACGCCTCAGTCACATAAAATGTACACGGCATTTCCAGCTGGATGGGATATTTGACTGTTTTGGCTTAATAAGCACAAAGGAACGCACCTCTCTCCTACAAGCATTTCCATCATTGAGCAAACATAACACTGGTCAAAAGGAGGTCAAAGAGATTTCAGTCTTGCTAGAAACACTGCTCACTGCCTACTTCCTGACTGGTGGGGTCAGAACAGTAACAGCTACCACACCAATCAAAATAAAAGCCGTGACGCAGAGAAATAGTGCTGAACTATTACAGCTAACTTGACATAGCAGCTAAGAAGTTACCAGGTGTAGTCTTCAGTGCTAAGCCCTCTTGCTGACAAAGCTTATTACTTAACATCATATGTAGTGCAGCAAACCCTGATTCTTGTTTTCATACAGCTGGTTAGAAGCAATGAGATATAGCAAGGGTAAGAGTTTGAAAATCTAGAGCTTAAAAGAGAAAATTCTCTGTCACATAATTAAGCATTTGTATTTCTTCTTTTCTTTAATTACACCTAGTATCTCATTTTTGTGTTGGTTACATAGAAGTCTGGAAAATCTATTTACTAGTCCAAATTTGGATCCAGTTGTCTAATGTTAGGCTCCCATTTTTTTAAATCTTTAGCCCATTTCTAGTTAGTGAATAGCCAGAATACACTGACCCAAACTGGAATTCAACAAACTTCAGCAGTCCCCCTCTTATAAAGCAAAATACCACGAGTTTTAACAAACAACCAGGATATTCCAAAACATTCTGCCACTAAAACCCTGCAGCAGATACTTGTTCAGTCTTGTCTCAAAACTAAGAACACCTAGGAAGTTAATCCAAATCATTAATTTCCTTCAGCATCTCGTAATAAGCTAAGCAGAATAAGCTTGTTCAGTACATAGCAAGAGATGACCTGCTAGTTCTGACAGAAAGGTTATTAGAGTTTACCTGGAGTGTAATTTAATTTATGTTTTATACCTAAGTTTTTTATCATTCAGTGGTCTTTCATAACTTTGTTTACAACAAATAGTGCTTTCTGTTTGGAATTATTGCTCAGCAAAATTAACACCATGTTGCACTCATGCCTAGTTATTTAAAGAATTCCTGCAAAGTGCAAGTGTCTGGTTGAAAGACCAATAGTGTAATCACTTTAATATGGATCATTTTAAAGCAAATGCAAGACTTAAAAATAAAGTTCTGTAAAAGCAGGAGTTTAAAGTTGAAGAACCTCCAAAAAGAATTCACAGATCAGCAGGAGAGTCAGAAAAAGAAACTCACGGCCTTGTTTGAACTCCTTAGCCAACTCCTTAAATTTAAACTCAAAGAGATGACAAACTTACTATCCAGAAGATTACATGAAAGATTACAACCAGAACTTACTCCCTTTTTTTTTTTTCCAAAGAAAACAGTAAATGCTTTTTTGTCCTTACTTGATCAACATTGCTTGATTTGGCAGCAGTTCCAGATGAATTTTCCCTCCTTCCTGTGTTCTTAAATAAGCAAATTCCTCCAACATATCAATATCTGAAGAAAACGTTAAAGATTTGAGTACGGAAAAAATGATAGAGAACATTCCTTCTTATCCCTCACATCTGAAGCCACATTGCTGAAAGGACAGTCAAAATGAACAGCTATTGAAGTATCTCATTCTTAAAAGTGATAAAGAAGATAATATGTATTCCTAATCTTCCACAAATTCATGAGAAATGGCTTTTTGAAGTGCAAAATGCACACATCAGTCAATTTCTTTTCTTTCTTCATTTCTTTCTTCATTTCAGTCAAAGGTAAAGAAAGATCATCTCTCCAAATTCCCTGGTTGTTTTTATTTTTTTTTCCTGCATTGCAGGTTATCAAAGTTGTGCATACTGAGGCTGGGACTGAAGGAAATGCCACCACGGTGGCACATACAACCCTTTTTAGTTTTCTATTTCGGTCCCTTACTTAGCTTTTCTTCTTTTTTTTTTTCCTTCCTTTAACACCAGAGCTTTTTTAGTTGTCTCAGATAGGACTCAGACTCCTTGCTTCCTGGGGATCATGGCTGGATGTCTATTTAGGTTAAACACTAAACTGTTCACATGTGTGTATACTGACCAAAGCGTATGTCAGATATCTGAATACAGAAATCAGACATGCTTTGCATGAACTTTGACATATCTCATCACCTTACTCAACCCAAAAATCTTTCCCACACAAAGCATTTCATAAACAACAGCCAAAATCATTCAAGTCCTTGAAGCATGGGTACCACTTTGTCATTTTTGTTAACAACCTTGTAGCATAATGACCTATATATCTTACTGAAAAGACTGCCATCACTTGCACGAGCAGCCTAAGCTGCTGTTTTTCTGAATGGAAGTGCAATTGCAATGTACTTAAGGGTACTCTCAAGTGCCAGAACAGGTGACAGGAGCCCTATTTATAGTCCATTGTGCACTGCCACCTATTACAAGAGGCTTACATGGTATGGAAATAAATACAGAATACGATTCATGGAGAAGAGCTGCTGCTGAAACTATCTAACAGCTTTTCCAACACCCCAGCACATAGTTTTGGATGTGAAAGACATTCTTGGTTAGAGAAAGGATACTCGTGACATAGTTGAAAAAATTCTCATACTGGAAGTTTCCTTGTTGGCAGATTTTGTTGATGGCTTTCAGGAACAAGTTCTCACCCCTTGGCCACTCATGCTGAAGCAGAACAACTACATGGCCCAGCGCCATGTCATCTCTGCTGTCTGTGAAAGCTCTGAGCTTCAGGGAAAAAAATTGACATTAAGGCAATCAGGAAGCACATGTTGCTCTTATAAATGTAAGGGATTCATCTCACCTACATCTGTGTAAACACAGTTGTTGTTCTTTATGAGCATATTTCATTCTGTCCTAACATACACATTTAAAATAGGTTGGAAATTTCCAGCCAAAATACCAAATTCTGTCCACTGACCTATAAGGGAAGTCTGAATACAGACAAAAATATTTTGAGATTAATTCTATCTCCGCTCCCCAAAACTAAAATGAATAGAAGAGAAAAAGAAGAGAGAACAAACCCTCCTCCATCAGCACTCCCTCCCCACCCAAAAAAAGAGCCTCCACAAACCCATTTAGGTGAGAAGCCCTTGAGGCACAGCCCTTCTTCACACCTTGAGGCACAGCCCTTAGTCACACCACTGGGATAAGGCCATGCCATTGCAGGACACCAGATACATCAACCAGGCCTTAGAGACACAAGAGAATGTGAAGCCTTGACTATAGCTTACCTTGAAACAAGCTAACAATAGATGAAGGCAGTAAGGCATGATAGCTCTACTGGTACATGGCCAAAGCTTCAAATCAGACCCTGCAACAGAACAGTTTATCATACACTTCTTTAGGGGCCTCATGATTATCTAAGTTTGAAAGAAATCAGAATGGAGCAAAACAAATCTACAATTGCCAAATCTCAGGTAGGGAGGAAAACTTTGAAGGTAAATTACAAATGATTCAAAACCTGAAGTTACACATTTTACAATCTTTCCCTGTGGTAGGACTTTGTCACCAAAACACTTTAGTAGGTACCAGCAGGAAAACCACTCACAAAGCCAAGAGGGGATAAAGAACTTCCTCTCTCTTTGTAATACAAAAAGAGAAGAATTATATACTCAACTGAAATGCATGAACTAAAATTGAGCTGACACTGAGTTTAGGGTAGTAGCAACTCCATACCTTTCCTGAATTTAGACTTGACTTTAGGTTGCTCCTCTTGTACTTTACCTCCATCTTGTATTGGAAGTAAAATACAGCACATGAGGTCAAGCACTTTTTCGCATGTTTGCTATAAAAAGAAGAGAGACATGATAATGCTAAGTCTAAATTAAAGTTCTTAAAATTCAGATATGTTAATAATGATTAAAAATTTCACATAGCGCAAAAGAAAAAGAACAATCACAAAATTCTCTGCTAAAACTCGAGTGGACAATGTCTAACTCAGTTTGGCTGAGCAAAAAGACGTAGCTATCATTAAACAATCTCTGTGAGCCTACATAAGTCATTTTAGTTGTGAAAAAAATAGGTATTGGCATTCTTCATTTCAAGAGTGTAAGGTCAATACAACTGCAATGAAAACCTATTTTATTTTGAAGGATTAAGTTTTCAAATTAATTCTTAGAATAGTTTTTAAAAGCTTATTCTGTCCATGGTAAAAAATAGAAAGGAAAATGGCAATCTGACAACATGACAGAAATGCGATGAATTTTTAATGCTATTTCCTAGAGACAATAAGAGGTCTGTGGGGATATATTATCACATTTCCAATGAAAAAGCAGTAAACTGGAAGTGACAATAAGTCTTGTCCAGTTGTACTGGGATGATGTTAGATCCTAACAGACCCAGCCTTTATTATTAGTGCTGACACTGACTGACCTCAAACCACTATGCACTCCTGTAACATTAAAAACACAAAATACCTATTGCAAAGGTAAAGCGAGTTCAGAGGTCAGGCCAAACAATATTGTTCTGGAGTCTCTTATACTGTCAGTTGATAACTAATTCTTTTCTAAGATGATCACAAAACTTTCTTTTCTATAAACCTCTCCTTTCCCTTGCCACATGAAGCCTATACCTAAGAAGTTTCCCTCAGTATTTAAAACTGTTTCAGAAGTTAAGGAATTCAAATTTAAGGTTACATTTACAGACCACTCAAACACTTGTAGCTACGGAAAATCATAACTAAACTCCACAAATCATAATTACCAAACTGACTCTTTAAGAGAGATACTAATGGACAGTCAGTTACTGTGCCAGGAAGTGCAATTCTTCTCCCTGTGAAGCATGGATTTTTCAGTAGACCCTGGCTTACGTTCGATACCCTGTTGAAAGAAGGCTAACGGGAAAATTCAAAGGAAGATGACAAACAGGAACCACAGGGCCAGATGATCAAGGACCAGAGTGTGGAATGCTCTACCTACCCGATATTCTCCAAGGGCAAAGTGGCATGTTGCTAACTGGATTAGCGCTCTCTGGTTTTCTAGTGATCCTTGTCCTGTAATTTGCTGTGGAGAATGAGAACCCTGAAGAGCTGCCAAGTGATGTAGGCTGCTAATTGCTTTTTTGTACTGCCCCTTTAAAAAAAAGATATAAAAAGACAGTGTTAGCGTCTTCTGTATGCAATGGGTAGAAAGACAGAAATAAAAATTCCCTTACAGAAAGCTTTCAAAACAGTGTGTATCCAAGTAACAGGGCTTCAAAATTTTAATCTACCAGAACACTCTCCAGTGATGTGCTGTGTGGATCAATCACTTGCAAGACAGCGAGAAGACAAACGGAATTCTGTTTTAAAAAACCTGTTTACAAAATTGCATTTATAACTGAAACAAATGCTCTTCAGAGTTAATCAGTACTTTCTTCAGACTAATAAAGTTTGAAATAGCTCTTGTTCAGGTACAAGTACAGGCAAAAATAAAAGACCTCAAAGGAGAAATATAAAAGAACAAGCTTTGTTCTATAGATGGTATTTGGAATGAGTACAGTCAGACTAATTTCTGAGGAGAATGATAAATTTTAACTGAGACATTAAAATCTTCTGCTCTTTGAAAATGTGTGTCTCTGTGTTCCAACAGAATGCACTAACAAACAGACAAAATGCACTTTTCTTCCATAACACCATATATATCTACTGGTCAAAACGCCAGTGCAGAGATCTTTCCCATATGCAAAAACCAGCTGGACTCAACAAACAGCTATTGGGACAGGAATATCCTAAGAAGACGACCTTTTGGGGTCATGCTTTAAAGGATAAAAATCAGTAGACACTTAAAGCAGTCAAACTGGGTAAGCAGAACAGCTATTCACTAGAACAGCAACGTAATGGTGTCATTTTTACTAATTTTTGCTTTATTTTTTACCTGGTAGATGATCATGTCTGTAAGAAAGATTCTTAACCAAAGCCAGGTGTCTGTCTTCCATGACAAGCAAATTCTGGTGAACTCTGCGTAAGTGGTCAGAGAAGAAAAAAATAAAAGAGAAAATGAAACATTGCACAGCTTTGGGTTAAATATCAATTATCTAGAAAAAAATAGCTGAATTTAAAAATGAAAAAAACCTAACCAGTAAAGAGTGGGAAATCTTTCAGATATAGGATACTCTCTTCCAATACAATCATATTTGGATTACACTTCTCTTCACAGTGTCCAACAAATCTAAGAGCAGCTAGGTGGTACTATTTTCCTGCTTTTTAGAACAGGAATTTGTTTTCAAGAGTATCACACCAGATATTATCAGAAAGGGAGAGACACAGTACAGACATCTTCTTAAGAATGAACTAAAGCAGCCATTAGCAGCATATCCTCACCTAGTATTATCAGCACTACTATTAACCAACTGCTCCTTCAGTACAAGCTGCTTCCAAAAGAAGTGGGGGTGAATAAGCAAAGATGCATGAAGAATGAAATGAAATCCAGGAACAAAATATTCAAAAATGCAACAACTGCTAAAGCTTCTTATTGGAACTTAGATCAAAAATACTCGGGACCCAAAGCAAATTTAAGGATTCACAATGACAGGAATTCTATTTTAACAATAGTAAAATGACTTCTATGCATAGCAATGAAGCCTAAATGCAACTCTGCCTGCAGTCAGCCTTACCTTTGTCGAGTGATTCCAGAGAATAGAGCAGCTCCCAGCTCTCCCTTGCCAGTTTAAAGCTCTCTAGTACTTCGATAGAGTTTGCAAGATCTGCCTTGTTTACTGTAATATGGCGACTTCGTGCCTTCCCAGAAGGATCCTCATCATCTGAGCTCTGCTTAAGAATCAGTATAAAACAAAAAGATTCACTTCTTTAATTTATACTTATTTCCAAGGACTCTAAAGTCACAGAAGTTCCCCTGAACACAAGAAAACAATTCTGTACTAGAGATGCCAAGGTCCTAGTTTAAGTGCCTTTAAGTGACTTTTTGCTTAGCTTGTTTTAATATTAGAACAATCTGCTTTGCTACCAAGAAACTCGGTGGTATAGCGTGCTAAACAGTATGCCAAATGAATTCATTCTGTTAAACGTTGTGTGCCACTGTTACCACCACCACTGAGCTTCAGCCAGATTATCTGTTAAAGTACGTACATACTTTACACTTTATCACCCAGTTTAAGCCTACAGTGGCATAATGCAAAAGAAATGTAATTCTTGTATAAGTGCGTACTTCTACCAGCAGGGAAATTCTACAAAATAGTGGTATTCTACTATTAGAGAAATAGATGTATTCACAGTTCCAATCATGAAAAGTCAATTAATTTGGAGGTTTAGCTGTAGGAACATCTGACTGCTATAGCTACCATTTTTACCAGTTTCTGAAGTCTCTGCTGAACTCCTTCAACTTCAAGTATTCACATCAGCACATATGTGTCTATAGCAATTGCTATAAAAATTGTTTTATTCTTCTTGGCTTTAGCCAAAAAAATCTGTTTGCAAACTGTGGTCATAAACAGATATTCCAGGGTAGCTCTAACAATGTGTCTATTAGATCTGTGTCAAAACCACTACTGTCTACATTCCAGTACCAATGCCATTCTTGTTATGAACAAAAAAGTCTAGAAAAGTTACCATTGTTTTTTCCCTTCCTTCGGCAAGTTTCCTCTTTTTGTGTATGTGTTTGTTACGATCAAGATCTGCATCACCATAGATGTTGGTCACATCCTCAAGAAGAACCAGTGGGGCTTGGTTTGGAGCATTTGGACCTGGATTTAAGGATAAATTAATTCAGGATTGCTCTAAACTGATCTGAAAGGTCTCCTGCCTACATCAAGCTGGTTGTGTTTACTTCACAAGTAATTATTATAATGCTAGAGAAAACAATCTGAAATTAATTAATTTAAGTTGCATAAGCTTAAACTATGCTGGTAAAGCTATGGTTTTCTCAAAGCAGACTTACGATAAAGGTCAGAATCCATTTACCAGACATCACAAGAGTTTGCTTGAGAGTTTCAGAATATCTTTGGATCCTTTTCTTACTGAGCAGGCACAATGTATACTCAGGCAGCAGGTGTTCTCTCATTAAGTATTATTTGCTTTTATATAACTATTCAGCAGGCAAACAGAACAAAATGCTCTGAAGTTAACAGCCACAAACATGGCGAAGTACAGTAATATTCACAAAACATTCTCATGAGAAACCAAATATGCTGACAGGCACTGACACCTCAAAGAAGTGAGCATATTTCATCACAAGATTTCTTTAGTAGGATCATTCAGTGTCAGCTTTGCCCCCACTGATTTCAGTATACAGAATTAAACCTTTAATTGAGCCCATCATCACTCCCCAAAGCCTCTAGAGAAGCCTCATTTTGAAGCACAGAAGACACAATTTCTGCTTCCACTGGTGTCACAGAACATCCAATTGGATCTGGCACCTGTTATTTCAGATCTCAGTGCTTAAGTTTCATTAGATACAAAATACAAACAACAATCTCAAACAATATTGGTACATGGCCACTAATGAGAAAGCTTCCCTTTGAAAACATTTTCTCCCTTTGCACAATCAAGTTGCATATAGATGTGCAAAGCTCACATAAAGAGAAATATAAAGGAAAGGGGAAATCCATTAATCCATTTGTCCTGGTTGAAATCTCCACCAGAGAAGACAGTAGTGTGGACAAGTATTTTCAGTATAGGCATTTCTTATGTTTCTATTTGCATAAAGATATGAGGCTAAGGCCTCATTCATAATTGCAAAGAACTAATTTGAGAGCTTAGTATAAGGACAATCCATTTCATCTCTTGACATAGAAGAACCCACATTAAGCTTTTCCCACCTACTCAAAAGTGATGTGTAAGGAGTCCACTACAATAGAAGTTAATGTTACAAGAAACAACCAACCTGGCATGCTTAACAAATAATGTCATCTCCTTTGACTAGTTTCAAACTAAATACCACCACTGAAATGTCCCCCACACAAAGGCTACAATACGTTGAAATTTCCTTTCCGTACCATCACGTGTCCACTGTGTTGGAACCTAACCTGTGTGAACTGAAAACAGAGCCATGTCATAACGTAGAAAATAGCATCTGTGAGAAACTGATATGAAAGTACCACAACTGGGATGCTGGAAGAGTTTTATCACTAGAATCTCAAGAGCTGCCTACTTCTAACATCTGAGAAGAAAGGAGTGGGTTTTTCTTTTACTCATACTGATTTGAATGAATAACAGTTAAGTGCTTTGCTTTCAGTAGCCTTTATTCCAAAACCTCCAGTCCTAAAACAAAACAAAACCTAACCTCACCCTTGATTTGGGCTGCAAACTTTCTCTTACATGACTGAAAATTACACAGCCATACAAAGAGCAATGTTGTGTTCTTCTGTCTAACCAAGCTCTAGAATTTAAGCTTACAGAGTTTTTAACTGATTTCTAGCACAGAGCGTTATAAATAAACCCCTAAAAGCATCAGCCCAAATAGCAACTCCTGCCAAGCCTGCAGGCAGCCTGAAAGTTATGAGAGGTGTGAATTGCCTCATTCAGTTCTCAAGCCTCCAGCAAGGCAGACAGGAATTATGTAAGAGAAATGCATTGAACAGTTTTCTTCCAAGAGGTTTCTTGCAAATCCATGCACACGAGAAGAAAGTCAGAGATCAAAACTCAGAGTTACTGGATTAAGGAGGAGACAGCTTTTTTCCCCACCACTACACTTCCAAAATATGTAGGATACTACATTTCTAAAGAGAGCCCTCCAACGAGAAGGAGGAAAAACCCTAATGATAGAAAGAATATGAAAGGCACTAAACACCACTGGACTTTAATGCTAAAGCAGAAATGAGTAAAAGATATCTTGGAAATACTTTCCTGATGTCAGGAAACGATGGGGGGTACCAGAAATGCTGCACAGAAGGGACTTCACTTTGCCGTCTCAGTATACATTCTTTTATGGTGGTTCAGTCTGAAAACATGAACTTTAACATACTCAACTGTAGAACTTAAAGGAACATTTTCACCAATGCTCTACTTCCTTTCTTCCTCAACTCAGAATCAAGCAGCTAAAACTATATGCACAGCTAAAGTATCTCACTGCCCCACCATAACTCTTCTTTCCTCAGGATAGAGAAAAAAATTCAACTCCATTAGTTCCTGTAGTTGTTAAAGTGACTACACTTTCTTTGCACACAAGTTGTCATTTGTAATTTGTCTTCTGAGTTTACCTATCTACGGACATTGTTCAACTGATTACCCAACTTTCTGTAAAGTTGTTTAAAACCCATCATTTGTATTGAGCGTTTAGTTACTCAAATGATTATTTACTCCATGCAGGAAACTGTGATAAAAGTTATGAACAAAACACACAATTAAAATGGAAATTTTATCATGAATCAGTAATTATAGTGTTAATAAGTACTAATTACCTATGGTGAAAATTTTTATTGTTGCAACGGATTTCCTAGCAGTGAGTGAAGAAGCACGAAATGCACACTACTAAGAGTTGAAAATTCCTCTTTAAAATGCTGTTTATTTCAGTAAGTTCTAAACAAACTGGAGGTTAAAGAACTTCCTTCAGCTTCTGGGCCATCCCTGAAAAGTCCAGTCAATCCCTGGAGAAGCAATCCAAGGTATTCCAAGCAACCTGCTATGCCCCAAATGCAGATTTGAGCGGGTAGGAAAAAAGCACAGGTAACCACTGATACTTTAAATGTTCAATTTACAAATTAATTACAAATTAGGATTAATGTGCAAAGCACATCTTTAAGATTATGCTTAAACTATACAAAGAAAGCCATGTTGGAAGCTTATGAACTTCAGGAAATTTTTTTCTATTCAGTTTTTAATTGATTAATTATAAATCTGTTGTGTGTTCCTAATGCAAAAATATCTTCATTTATTTTGTGGAAGCTTTTTGTACAATCTTTTGACTGAAGGAAGCCAGGAAAATGTCAGCTTCAAAGAAACAGAATCAGAGGAGAAAATGAAGCAAACATGATGAGTAGGAAGAGTAGGAATCAACCCTCGGGATGTTTCTCATAACATCTCGTCTGTTACTTTTCTCTTTGCTAGACAACTGACTGCTGCCAGCGAGGGCTGAAACCATGATGCCAAGTTAGATTGGTCTTTGGTCTGATCCACTACAGTAGTTGTCATCATCTACTACTGCTGGTAAGATTAAAGGGTCGGGAGAATTTTAAAAAAGACCCATGTCACTTTGTAAAATGATAGTTTCAATAGACTAATGAGTAAAGATCTTTCAGACATTAGCAATGAAGTCACAAAGAACTCTTTACAAAAGCTGAAACATTAGAAACTAACCTTGAAAGAGCGATGGCTGGATGTTGCTGACATACTGGAATGCATTTTTAAAGAAGACCAACATCGTGGAATACACTACTTGATTTTTATATTTAGCATGTGCATCACTGTCAAAGTTACTGATGTATCTGCAGAGGTCCTTCATTCGATGCAAAATATCACCATAACTTCTGAGGAAGAGAGACAAAAAAGAGTTCAGGATGATACACTGACTCCAAAACTAAATGAAAGAACACACAGTGAATATGAAAAACTTAATGTTTTGACTGAGGAAATCCCCCAGCTGCAAGTCAGTGGAGGCTGGGAATGCACGCCAGTGAAACTTCACTAAACATTTACCATGTTTCTCTTTGCTGAGGCACCTAGGAAAGGATACCCCACAGTACTATAGTTCTTAAGCATGACTTTCATCAACAAAGAGTTAGTTGAGAGAGTAATTTCAAAGGACTCCTTAGATCCATGCTTTTGCTTTACATTGTACAGTCTTGAAAGAAGAGCTGCACTGAATTTACACAAAATGTCCTCTTATTAAAATCCTTCTTCAACCCATCTCCTTAAGAATTAAAAAGCCAAATTCTCCTTGAGAAGAAATACCTGGAAAAGTACACATTTCTCACCTTCTTCCCTTATCCATTTGCCATTCACACCTCATTCCCACCACAGACAGTATTTTAAATAGCCTCTCCCAAGGATCTGTAATCTGGGATGATTTCTCTGTGAGACCATCTATTACATATTTCTGAGAGCTACGCTTGCTTGGAGACATAATATCAGAGGAATCTTGTGAACCTAGGAAAACCAGCACATTTTTCTCTTCATAAAGAAATCAAATCAATTGATTTATTTTCAAGAAGGAGACATGTAAAAATGTACACTGGAGCTTTCAGGGTAATGATTCAGGGGATCAGTAGGCAGTTCTGCCTCCTCCTCCAAGAGAGCTAATAAGCTGGATAAGATGATCTTGGACATTTTATCCTACCTCTCAGTACATATGTTGAAGCATCATGAGCATCAGGACTAAGTAGTTGAAGCATCATGAGATATTTTGGTTATCAAAGAACTAAGAAATATCAAATACTACTATTAATCATACGCGGCCTCACCTCAAGTACTGTGTGCAGGTTTGGGCACCACAGTACAAAAAGGACATAAAACTATTGGAGAGTGTCCAAAGGAGGGCAACAAAGATATTGAAGGGTCTAGAAGGGAAGACGTATGAGGAGAGGCTGAAGTCCCTTGGTTTGTTCAGCCTAGAGGAGACTGAGGGGAGACCTCATCGCAGCCTACAGCTTCCTCACAAGGGGGAGCGAAGGGGCAGGCGCTGATCTCCTCCCTCTGGTGACCAGTGATAGAACCTGACGGAACAGCATGAAGCTGCGACAGGGGAGGTTTGGGTTGGATATCAGGAAAAGGTTCTTCACTGAGAGGGCGGTCGGGCACTGGAACAGGCTCCCCAGGGAAGTGGTCACAGCACCGAGCTTGACTGAGTTCAGGAAGCATCTGGATAACGCTCTCAGTCATATGCTCTGATTCAGCTGGTCCTGTGCGGAGCCAGGAGTTGGACTCGATGATCCTTATGGGTCCCTTCCAACTCAGGATAGTCTATGATTCTAGGATTCTATGATCCTTGTCTATGGGATACATTACATAAAAGTAATGCATTCTTAATTTATGGATATTACTTCACTAATACTAAAATACATTCTAAGAAAGGTTAATTTTGTAAAAATATTCTTACCTTGATATTGGCTTTCTGTCTGTGTTGATCTAGTTACATAGTTAATATAAAATTCTGCTGCTTTATTCAGATACTTATATAACAAGCTGGCAGGAAGTCGAACATCAGGGTTGTTAATTATTAGAGGAAGAACATCACAAACTAAAATAGAAAACAAATGAAAAAATCCTTCAGGTTTGTGGGGCTTTTTGTTCCTTTTGTCCTAAATAAAGTTTCTCAATCAGCAATGTAAGCCTCCATCTCTGGCTGACCATACATCACAAAGGATCACAAAGAACTTCACATGAATGATTGTAATACCAATTTGTACCATATGGTCAGCCTGGCCTGAGCCTCTTCTGACTAAAGTGGTTTTCTAATCTTAATATCTTGAAAGTAGTTTACTGAACTCAGAATCCTGCCATACTAAAATGCTGTATAATAAAACAAGAACTTTAATATTTTCTTACCAAATAATTTTCTAAAACAATTCACTGGGGATTCTTGGTCTTCAATACTTTCAGCATCTAATAATGTTTCTCCAAGGCCCACCTGGGTAAGCAGAGGTGAAAATCAAACACTGGACCAGTGGTTTTAGAAATTTTTTGAACTGTGATTCAATGGAGTTGAACAATAATTCAGTGGATGCATGAGTAGCAATTCACTATATGGCAACTGACTGTGCTAGTCTCTAAATATATAGTTCTACTATCCTTACTTCCTAACAGGTGAAAAGCAAGGCCAGAAGACAGCAAAACAAGGCTAGAAGAAAAACTGTGCATGCGACTGTATCAGTAAAGATGTGCAGACAGGTGAAAGCGATGGAGGTACCAGGCCTTAAAGTTGCAGCTCATCACCTGCGCTGTAGTAACTGATTCTGCACTCTGCCTGATGCTAGTACGAGCTAGAACATGTTAGTGTACATCAGTCTCAGAACTAACAGGTTTTATAGTCTTTAAACTATTTTTAAACTTCCTTAAACTGTCCTTAAATAAAGTAAGTCATCATTTAAAGAGCTCCAGCTGTAGTTTCATAAGTCAAAGCAAATATGCGGCTGCTTGGAGTCTAAACATAACTTCAAAGCACTCTGCCCTCAATGAGAGTTTACTGACAAAAAGCTGAAGCAATATTCTTTCTCAGACTGTAATAGTCCTCTACACTCTTTTTTGTGCTATTCTGCTTTTTCAAAAAGCATGGAATATTCTTGCATTTTACAAAACAAAAACGTTTTATTTGCTTCCATTTGTTTTCTGCCCAATTCTTTCCTGGTGGAAATGTCAAGATACAGCAATTGGCACTGTTAACCACAATTAAACATGAATAAATAGACTTACTTCCTCACTAAGCAAAGGAAAATACATTTCAGCAAAATCTCAAGAAATAGAATGCCAATATCCTGAATAGTTACTATGAACTTCTCATCTCTTACCCCGTGTTGCACCACAGTCTCTGGGAAACGTCGCAGAAGTAGTAGTAGCATTTCTGCCCTTTCTAGTGTGTTAAAACACTGCTCTGTGGCCTTCAGTAACATTTCACACTGGACCCGACCAGGAAGGGTTTCAAATAATCCTTAAAAAAAAAAATAATCAAAAAGTGTTTAACTTGCTACGTCTGAACTGTAAAGGTGATTGACAAAGACTAAAAGACTAGTCAACATCACCTTGCCATGGCATTTCTGCCCTTTCTAGTGTGTTAAAACACTGCTCTGTGGCCTTCAGTAACATTTCACACTGGACCCGACCAGGAAGGGTTTCAAATAATCCTTAAAAAAAAATAATCAAAAAGTGTTTAACTTGTTATGTCTGAATTGTAAAGGTGACTGACAAAGACTAAAAGACTAGTCAACATCATCTTGCCATGCAGAGTGAAAAAGATTTCCTTATACTTTTTTCTGCTTTTAATATCTATGCCTGGAAAAAACCTGCTGTTTCTTTCAGAGAAGACCACAAGAACATTTATCTGTGTTTACACGGGTGCACAGAACTTGAATTAACAAGTAAGACTGCTAATGAGTGGAATACTGAAAATCCTAATACTTAAATATTTGACATTTTAAGATGCTTTTTCAAGAACGTTAATTTATTTTTTTTACTTACATTCCACTTCTACAATTAATACCTTCATTATGAAAAGGTATTTGTTTCAATTTAAACTGTCAGTGAGACACTAAAAAGAAACAAACATATTCTCCCTGTAAATTTTACGTATTCTCTCTGAAAAATAAACACACCTCATGAAAAAGCAAGTGTTTCCTTAACCGGAATAGCCTGTATGCAGAGTTACACACTGCTTATCCTCAGAGCTTCTGCAGCACATATTCAAACAGCACATTATAATTTGTCAGGTGTAAAGCCTGCTTTGAAAACTGCCTGTGGTTCACAGCAGTGAATGCCAAGACCTTCTGGTCACTGTTAATTTTCATAACCTTCACTTCATACGTACAAATTCAGCCCATTTTTATGACCATTCATTGTTCTCTGCAATCAGTGGGATGATGATTCATCAGTCCCATTCCACTTACTCCCTATGCAACCTCTTTTCTAAGTGCTTGTTGTTCTGGCAGACTTAGTCTACCCATATAAGAGACAAAGTAATGCGAATCAGCTTCTCATGTCCCTTCATGTTTTCTAAGCCTAACATACTGAATGAAGTCTCCAAGGATGAACTGAGCAAAAAAATCTGCAGCCCACAAGCAAAGTTAAAAAGACTGACATTTACTTGCCACACTAGATACATAACCAGAGGGCTTATCTTTAGATTCCTTCAGGACTCTCACTATTCACTGAATAAAACCCTTACCTCTTAAAAATTGTGTCTGCTTGTCCTGTGAGTCATTCCTTAATGCTGATGTAATAATGCTAATCTCCCTCCATACAGCAGGTTGGTCTGGAAAATTCACAAACCTGTAATAAAATAAATGGCAAAGAATGCACAGCGATCTCAAAATCTGTTTCCAAGAAAAAACCTTCCTATGAAAGAATGTACATGGGCAAATGGAAAATGAAACCTTCCTTTTTACTCTGTATTTTTAATCAATAAGACCTTTTCTGCTTAATTTATCTACACGGTCTTCCAGGAACACTCACATTATATTTTTGGAAATTCTGACATTTATGGAAACAAACAGCTGGCTTAATTGTAGAGTTCCAGCTCTGATTACTTACATGTCGTACAGCAGCCTCCCCGCAGACGCTGTCCTTTCAGCATTCCTCTCAATAGTGTACATCTCATACTGCAAGACGGAAGAACAGAACATTAGCTTTCTTGAATACATTTATGAATCAGATCAGTCCTTCCACTCTAAGAAACTGGCCCAAATTTGCCACAGCAATCTGAATAACAGAAAATGAAAGGATTGCAACATTTGCTGTAGAAATTAGCTGAGTTTAGACTACCTAATCACACATTAAATTAGGCATAAACTTCTATATGACAAGTACTCTAATATTAACATGCTGGCTTTATTTTATGCAAATAAAGAACTTAGTGAGAACTCAAAGAGTTCTTTGACCATGGTTTGTTTCCAGTCAAATGCACTGCAAAAACCCAAGTTATCACGAAAGCTGTAGGCAAGAGTGGTACTTTAGATCTCTATTAGAAATGGCTATTTTTTTTTCTGTGACAGCAAACCCAAATGTTTCATCATGTGCAAACATCAGATGCAGAAAGGGACCTTCCCCTCAGTTATTAAAAACCCAACACTTTCACCAATTTCACAAAGCATTCATAAGAGTGGATTTTATTGAAACACAACGAGCAGTGACAACCTCGCCACTTTATTTTTAACCACTGGACAGGAGAGTGAGAGGCTGGGCAGCTGCGGCACCACCGCCGCACAGCTCTGTGTTTCCCCACAGCCGTCCTGTGCGTTCTGACGGGAACGAAACGCGACTTAGTAAGTCTGCAAAAGAGTGTTCGGCTGCAAAATACGTGTGCTCAGTCCGGCCCCTGTCACAGGGGCTGGGTCGGACCCTCTGGGGATGCTGGGCCAGGCCGCCAGCTGGGTGCTGGGCCCGGACGCCTGTCAGGGCGCTG